GGTAACACACACATACATAAACTTTGTTAGATTATTTGATAATCTTGTAGATTTAATCTTCGTTAAAATTACAGTTACTACATGTAGCAGGAATTTCCTCACCAAAGAGGTCATGTTACACCTTAATGCCAGGAGTCTGTTTTACAATCTATAATACCGTACAATATTTTACTTCGTTATGACCGATTACATGTTATGTCGAACAGATGCGTCAAATGATACAAGAAAATCAGTTAAAAATCAATTTTGCTTATTGATACATAAGATATGGTACTAAGTTATGTTGTTATTTATCGATGGCATTATGTTAATAGGGGAAAAAATGCATTTTACTTGAGGCAGCCATACAATCTCTTATATTATTATAAAGTTTTTTGTAAATCAAATTCATTATATTGGCCGAGTCGATCGTAAAATAAATAAGAGAGAAACTTGTCAATTAATTCACTTACACACACTGTTCGCTTATTATATATGATATGTATGTATGTAATGTTAATTGGTAAAATCCTAAAACAATGTCGCCTTCAGGAACTGCAGGTGTTACCACAGCGTGCAGATATTATGGCATGAAGGAGTACACTTGTTGTCAGTGACAGACATTTCCCGTATATACAAGTACTTATTGTACAAAATAAACATCTGTTAGATGGGATATAATTAAGAATAATTTCCTACTTGGAACAAAAATATGTACGGTGCAGGTTTACATTCAGGGATTTTGCAAATTAACAATGAATTTCCTTTAACATTCAAAATACTACTTCTACGTTCATAGTTATATACATGACGTACTGACTGCGGAGGAAGTGCCAATCGTTAATGTTGAAAGGACTTTGTCCAACCATTTTGCCTTTGTTTATTCGAAAACTTGCTGTTTTATGTGTACATTTGTATGTAAATATTGTCATAACATGTACTAGATGAACGAAAATATTTCAAAAAATCAAACTTGAGAAAAAAAGTTTCGAGATTTTAAGAAAAGTAAAAATGTTCAAAATAAAAGTAACAATTATCACGTTATGAACGGTTTATTAACAACTTTGCACTTTTTTCCACCATTTTTCTACTGCGTTAGTAATGCAGTAAGGGCTATTTTTGTATATTTTGACCTTTTTGGTATTTTACATTGGTATTAAAATTAATGTTGCTTGCAATTCGAAAATAATTTTCTTTGTTCACTTCACAATATTTTACTTTTTAGTTCATTTTCAAAATTTAATGAAAATAAGAGAGAATCTGGGGGCGTGCTGCTTTAAACTAAAACAGAAAGGAAACTTTTACTTATATAATCTACAGACACCATGTTCATAATCGTAAACAACAAAAGACATTTAAACATACGAAAATTATAACAACTCAAATAGATATCATCACAGAAACACATGTGGAATTATAATAATAAAGACTAAGTTCAGTTTACCACTGAAGCAAAATTCATCTTTGTCCATTATAGAAAATGTAAAATGTGAAAAGCACAATTTATTTTTTCAAGGAAAAAAAGCAATAGCTCTGCAAATTGAGAAGGTAAGGTGCAAGCAATAAACATATGATTTTCAAATGACTCAGAAATCGCAGTCTGATGCAGAAATTTAGATATCTAATTTACTGACATGTAAATAAGTTTATCAGATTAACTGACAACCTTTACGATGTTATCAATGTTAGAACTATAACATTTCCAGTAAAAACCTCAATAGAGAGGCATTTTATCGATACTGTGCAAACAACGCTTAGCAAAACAAGCGTTTACTAGTTCCTGATCTTCGCAGACCGATCTATGTGGTTCCAGTGGTTGAATATATTCTACAAGTGAATAGTGTTCTGTTGGAATATTTATGATTCATATGCAGCGTTCATATCCTAATGAATGCGTATATATGTTACAATTTTTGAGTTATTTTTAATAAAAGTACAACGGTAAATTGTCACGGAATTTCAGGATTTCTGATTATTTGTAGTTGTACCAACAGGTAAATAAAAAGTTTCGATTATTTTTGTTTTGTTTTATTGAAATAGTTAATGTATAAAAGTATAAATACAGTACACTCCTCATCAATGGGATTGTATAAAAAAGCTAGTTTTAACATTACGTATGGCATTCAATGAAGGCGCTCTCTATATAGGTTTGAATTTACTGTATATTACAAATGTATATGAACGTATGCGTGTTTTTTTTTTGTATTAAGACTACATACTGTTAGACAGTGTATATAGTATATGCCTTTGAAATTATAATTAGAAAACGTCTTATTCAGAGAAAACGAAGTTTGTTCAAGCAAAGGCACCATTGTGGCCTTTGAAGTAGTGTGCCTTGTTAATTTATTCAATATATATACTTATACAAGTATATTGTATGTTACGACGATTAGCTTGTAATGCATAAGTCAAATAAAATATATGTTCTGCTCTGTTATTGATCGATCCATAATCTGTTTTATAAATTATAATGTTTAACGTATGTTTCTCAACCAGGAAATTATGCTCCAATCTGATATTGATCTTTTATTGATTTGTGAATAGCATCAATGTGATTGTGTATGCTATTTTACGTGAGCTATTTCTTTATGTACATTTTTGGCAATATAGAACAAGGTCTAAATCTAAAAATATACGGTTATGCTTGTTATTAAGGTGTTTGTGTTTAGCTAATTCTTTGTCAGTTAAGAACACAGTTTCATAATAATGTGAAGAAAATATTTTATCGAAGAATTGGCCCAATTTATACTTATTTGAGCGACATTTCCACCTTTGTTAGTTAAGCATCCCTGGTTGTAAGTTAAGCATCCTTGACTGTAAGTTCAGCGTCCTTGACTGTTAATTTAGATGCATCGGCTATTAGTTTAGCATCCTCGGCCGTTAATTTAGCATCCTTGACTGTTATTTTGCATATTTGACCGTTAGTTTTGTGCCATTGGCTGTTAATTTACGCCATTGGCTGTTGGTTTAGCATATCATTTGTAAGATCTTGCACCAATAATGTGAATAAGTGCATATGTCGATTGTAATACTATACAATTGGTGAAGATAATTAAGATAATGAACTCCATGTAATCAAATTATCTTGATAGTCTCTAAGGAAACATTGTACTAAATCAGTTATCAATCATATGTTTATACGCCCTTTGGCTATGCTACCTAACGTTTTGAATGGCTCAATTATACATTTTGAATGCTTGGAAATTTGGAAGAATCTGCAATAGGGAACGATTTGAGATGAGCATCGTATACGTCACTGATAAGAGACCTGTTCTAAAAATAGCAACATATCGATAACTTTCGGACAAGGAAACTGGTTAATCTACATGTAGATTATACAACATGTAATGGTTACGAATGCTTTTATTCACATTTCTCTCAATGGAAATGATGTTCCTGGGGTTAAACTTGCGTAAAGCATGATTGAGATGGTTTAAAACCATCAGGAAAAAAAAGATGATATGGTGAAAAAGAAATAACTTTCGGGGCAATACTTTCCCTGCATGTCAATTTGAGAAAAATGCCGGCGCTTGGCAATTTGTTTTTGTTTCACTGTTTATCAAAATTAGAAATGGTGATATGATATGGTATGATTTTAAGAAATTGGGACTAAAAATGAAAAAGTATCTTTCTGTCCCAGATATACCGTACAAAATTTTGTTAATATGTAAAATACGCAGATTGGAGAAGTCATGAATCTATCCACCAAAGTGCTACGAGTATTATATTAATTACTATAATATCTTAAATTAATTCTTTATTAATTTTAGAATACGCAAAACTATGCGTTTTTCCTATTTTTCCTAATAAAAAATGCCGATTCCAGAAGTTACTGTATCAGAAATAATGTATACGTACATGCATGCTTGCATGTATATTTAAACTGAATTGACAATTGAGGTCCGTGATTTAACATACACTGTTAACGTATAGACAATAAGATACATTTGTTTTTTTTATTTTATGTCTCACACAAAATATTTGTTTTTTTTAAATCATCGCCAATTTAGAATTACTGGTGCATTTTGTAAAAATCGCCTCATCAATCAAAAGAGTCAAACTTTTTTTCTGCCTGAATGACAAAAACCGTTTTATTGACAAATATAGAGGCCAGAGCAGATTGTGACATATGTTTAAATTTAACTTTTCAAAAGTACAGTGTGTAGTTGTCCCTTTTCTTTTCACACTAAATTCCATTTCCAACTTGTTTGCATTCTACAATTTCTTAAAATATTGCATGTAAACAAAGTAAATATACGCTGATTAACATTATGTGTAGTGTGAACTCCCTAATCCCTTGTCCGAAAGTCAGTACAGGTGATGTAGTGGTGATAAGGTAAAATCTATTTTTAGAACAGTGTTACCTTCAGATCGAAGGCTATTCTATACATTCTTGAACACATGGAGAGACATTAAGTTACTGCAAATCTGAATCTAAATCCATCAAAACAATCCAAGTTATCTCAAAAATGTCTGTACGACGCATCTGTTTTTGCACGTTATATATATACAAAAGTGCACATTTGAAGTGACTTAAATCTGAAACAAAAGATTCCCATTCCCATTAGAAATTATGCGCAGTTTTTTTTTAAATTAACAAAAGTTAAATTAATTGAGATATAATAAAAGTTTTGCAATGTACATCTCAGTGTCATTTTCCGATTTTTTTCGTATAATTCGAGATGAAAAAATCATCTTTTATTTATGACATGCTACGTGCTAATCAAACAATTAATTTACAATTATGTGAGAACTATTTCATAACATAAGAGGCCACGTGTTTTACAAGCACCAGACACGTAACCTGAATCAATCATGGGTTAAATGGCAATTAGCTTCCCTTACACGATAAAATGATTTATATTCACGCATCGAAATTTATCAGATTATAATGAAAAAAATCATTTTATATATTTAGCATTCATGCCATGTGCAAAAGTTCCCGTAATTCTCGATTGTGGAATCAATACGCATATTATTTGCTGGTACATCACAAACATGCCATTATTTCTAAACTATTTCACATTCTAATATCAAAACAACCTTGAGATCTGCCGCAGAGTTCCTCGCATCAGTAGAATAACTTTGTGGAGTATATCCACTAGTGAAATATAACTAGCTAGAAAAGCTCTACGAATAAATTACACGGTGGAATTACCGCTGGAATATTATGAATCATAACTTGGATTATTAGACTGCAAGTTGTAGGAGGAATTTATTTTCTTAAAGAATATGTCAGTTTTATGGAGTTCTGTTTTCTGAATTTGTAGACAGAAGTTTTCAGATTTTGTGAGTGGATTATATAATGGAATGCTTTATTATTGAAAGGTATACACATGTGACCATATTTGTAGTTTAGATTGTGGTAAATAGATCAACGTTTCATTTAAAGTACATCACTTGAATTTTAGTACCGCTTCAGTTAACGCTGTTTCTTACATTATGTTTTAAGCATACACAATAAAAGTAAATATTTCGATGGGATATTTCATTATAATACATTAAGTAGTCTGGTTGTTTCCATCTTTATTACCTATATTATTTATTCATTATATAACTTCTTAATCCTTCACAGACCTTAAAATAAATGAACCGAATTTGTTATAAATTGTATCGCCACTTGATAAAACTTATTCTGTAACAGTTGGATATGATTCATTTGATTGGTACATGCCCCTCTTTTTCAGTATTTAGAACCTTAAATATTCTGTCATCAGATGCCAATCGATTTTACGTGTATTGTCAGTCACATGAATAGTAAAGTGCCCGTATGCATAACAACTGATTTTTAATCTGCAACTGTTGCTGTTGTTAATCAGTTTTTTATGCGCTTCATAAAATATTGTTTTATTATCGATCTGGTCGACTTGAACTTTTTTCTAGAACAAAACATAACCAGTCTATCATGCTATTGCTATGGATAATGTCAAAGTATCCCGAACACTAGACAGGCTGTGACCGCCATCAATCAATAAGTGTTAGTCATTGCTTATTTCTTCATGCGTCTAACAAGTTCTTATACCAACATCATTTTATCACTTTGCCGAAAACTATGACAGTCATAAGACGACGAGAGCATTTGATCTATGCTGCAATTTTTTTTTATTTCCTTGAACGTTTTAATCTTGTTACTTAAATTATGCATGTTTGCGTGACGGTTCTCAAAATAGTAGCTGAGGAACAATATTATTATAGCTTCGTAAAGATAAACGTACCAGATTGAAACAAATTAAAGGTATATGGAAGAATAATAAACATCCCTGTTTAAGTTAGAGAATGCATATATTCCAATTCAACTAACAGTGTTATGTAACATATGTTGTTTGAAAACATACATGATTACTATAACTGCCATGTGGTTTTGATTTATCTAAATTTCTGCATTCTTTCAACTGTCAAACTATTTTATTGATATTAAAGGATTCTAAATGATTTTGATTATTTTGGATTATCATTCGTTTGATATTTAATGAGTTTTTATATATTTTCATTGGCATCAAATGTATAATGGGCTCTTAATTTTTTTTGGAGAAAAAAAATAAACATTTACATTGTCAATAAATATTCAGTTACTTATTCGATTTAATACTCGTTGCCTATGCTCCCGGTTGAATAGTGACCAGGTTTAACTTTTGGATTCTCATACTCTCTGAACATTTCCTACATGTGGAGAACTTCTAAATGTCCTGAATACGGAGAACTGCAAATGTCCTGCTGCATGTGGAGAACTGTAAATGTCCTTCTGCATGCGGAGAACTGTAAATATCCTGAATATTGAGAACTGTAAATGTCCTGCTGCATGTGGAGACCTGTAAATGTCCTAATGCATGCGGAGAACTGCAAATGTCCTGCTGCATGCGGAGAACTGTAAAAAGCCTGCTGCATGCGGAGAACTGTAAATATCCTGAATATGGAGAACTGTAAATGTCCTGCTGCATGTGGAGAACTGTAAATGTCCTGCTGCATGCGGAGAATTGCAAATGTCTTGCTGCATGCGGAGAACTGTAAATATCCTGAATATAGAGAAATGTTAATGTCCTGCTGCATGCGGAGAACTGTAAATATCCTGAATATAGAGAACTGTAAATGTCCAGTTGCATGCGGAGAACTGTAAATGTCCTGCTGCATGCGGAGAACTGTAAATGTCCTGCTGCATGCGGAGAACTGCAAATGTCCTGCTGCATGTGGAGAACTGTAAATGTCCTAATGCATGCGGAGAATTGCAAATGTCTTGCTGCATGCGGAGAACTGTAAATAACCTGAATATAGAGAAATGTTAATGTCCTGCTGCATGCGGAGAACTGTAAATATCCTGAATATAGAGAACTGTAAATGTCCAGTTGCATGCGGAGAACTGTAAATGTCCTGCTGCATGCGGAGAACTGGTAATGTCCTGCTGCATGCGGAGAACTGCAAATGTCCTGCTGCATGCGGAGAACTGTAAATGTCCTGCTGCATGCGGAGTACTGTAAATGTCCTGCTGCATGTGGAGAACTGCAAATGTCTTGCTACATGCGGAGAACTGCAAATGTCCTGCTGCATGCGGAGAACTGTAAATATCCTGAATATAGAGAACTGTTAATGTCCAGCTGCATGCGAAGTACTGTAAATGTCCTGCTGCATTCAGAGAACTGCAAATGTCCTGCTGCATGCGGAGTACTGTAAATATCCTGCTGCATGCGGAGAACTGTAAATTTCCTTCTGCATGCGGAGAGCTGTAAATACCCTGAATATAGAGAACTGTAAATGTCCAGCTGCATGCGGAGTACTGTAAATTTCCTGCTGCATGCGGAGAACTGCAAATGTCCTGCTGCATGCGGAGAACTGTAAATGTACAGCTGCATGCAGAGATCTGTAAATACCCTGAATATAGAGAACTGTAAATGTCAAGCTGCATGCGGAGAACTGCAAATGTCCAGCTGCATTCGGAGTACTGTAAATGTCCAGCTGCATGCGGAGTACTGTAAATATCCTGCTGCATGCGGAGAACTGTAAATGTCCTGCTGCATGCGGAGAACTGTAAATATCCTGACTATGGAGAACTGTAAATGTCCTGCTGCATGCGGAGAACTGGTAATGTCCTGCTGCATGCGGAGAACTGTTAATGTCCTGCTGCATGCGGAGAACTGGTAATGTCCTGCTGCATGCAGTGAACTGTAAATGTCCTTCTGCATGCGGAGAACTGCAAATGTCCTGCTGCATGCGGAGAACTGTAAATGATCTGCTGCATACGGAGAACCTCATATTGCCCATGTATTAAAGCTTGTTTGGCGTCCAAATAGAATCACCACAGATGCCCGGCATTGCGGGGTCAAACAGAACGGAAACAAATTATCCCCCACCCCTATCCCTCGACTGTCACTGGGCGGGCCGGGTTTTCAATGGACAGGAGCAAAAGATAAGCACGAATCGCTTCATAGTTTTCACCGTTTTATACTTTTTAAGGCAGACGGCACCACCAGTTAATAACCGTGTCTTACAGACCAATCTCTTAACTATATAAATTAAATTAAAAATGGAATGCACCAAATCTGATGCAGTGCAAGTCCATTACACGATTCAAGCTAAAAATGTTACTGTTAAATCTTATTTTCCTCTCGGTATATGGATATTCAATTTTCTCTTTATATTATTATTATTATTGTTATTGTTTTGTTGTTATTATTATCATTACTTAGGTTTTAAGCCAAATCATCATATGGCGATTTTCCAGTCATACTGATCATGCCACTTCTCGGCCACTGAGGCCTTAATATAATAATAAAGAAGTGGTGAACTAGAATAGCTTCAACTGTTAATTCATGAAATGAAATTTTAATCATTTAAAAACAGCTGCGGATTATTATCTCTATCACGAATTTCAGTTCCATAACTTGCACCGGTGCATATCGTTTGTGGCCTCGGTAGAATTGTTTATAGCTTATACAGGAAAAAAAAGTTTACACAAAAAACTGTTGAACATATGGAACCTGTCAGAAAATAAGATTATATAATAAATTGTTCCAGTTTTTCGTGTAAAACATTCGCAAAATGACTCAATTCATAGGAACGGAATATTTATCTAAAAAACACACTTCTAGGTGAAAATCATTATCAGTAAGTACGAGAGGCTTGTTAACATGTTTGTGAAGGGGATACCATATAAATTAACCGAAATTAAGTGTTCAGGTAAAAATTGTTATCTTTGAAATTACAAAGATGTTAGTCAATGAGAGAACGAACTGAAATGAAAATAATGTAAGATTCTAACTGAATTGAAGAAAACTGCGTTATAATAATAGATCATAGGATTTTATAAACATTTTGAAAGCCAAATGTATTTTTTATGGAAGCCTTGGAGGGTCACTTTTGAGTTTCAACTTTTGGATGTTTTACTTTTGACTTTCGACTTTTGACTTTTGATTTGTGACTTACGTCTTATGACTTTTGGCTAACCCATTTTACACGTGCTTTAGAAGCTGAAAGCAGCAACTTTGGTTTCAGGTATGTTTTTAAACGTTTTAAATAATTTCATTGAGATTTGTCAATGAGGAGAGGATGTGTTCAGGAGGGAATTTAATGTTATTTGATATAATCCCACAGTGGTAATATATCACACACTTAACTTCACAAGTGTGACTGTGTGTTTTGTGCAATCTGCTATGTTCTAAATATGTTCATTATATTAATGCTTATACATTTTTTGTCCTCATCACAAAATCTGTCCATGAGTAACAAACAAATATTTGTTTTACAAGTAGACAGGGAATACAAGTTTTACGTTTGTTTGTTTGTTTTGGGTTTTACGTCACATCGACACAGTACAGGTCATATCGCGACGTTCAGCTTTACTGGTGGAGGAAGACCTCAGGTGCCCTTCCGTGCATTATTTCAGGCACGAACGGTCACCTGAGTAAAACCACCGACGTTCCGTAAGCTAGCTGGATAGCTTCCTCACATGAAAGAATCCAAAGTCCATGTCGGGATTCGAACCCACAGCGGTGAGGGGCAAGTGGTTTGAAGTCAACAACCTTAACCATTCGGCCACGGACGCCCCTACAAGTTTTACGTCTTAAAATGGCATGGTGCACAGTATTAAACATGTATCGCAATTCAGCATTTTATTGAGCTACCACAGAATCAGTATTTCTCTAAAGTACCGGTACTTAGATAGTGTTGACCAATTCCATAAAGAACGGCAAATGCTATGTTCATACACACAAGTACGAAGTTAACTTATAATTGTGATCGAGCACAATTTGCATTTTGCATCAATGTCTAATTTTGTTGTATATTTTAACAATTGAGAAAAGAAAACATAAGAACAAACATAGATATAGGACCAGTTA